GGGAACTTGATTTAGAGTCCTTTCTGGGAGAAGAGGTGTATCTGACATCCTGTTTATTTAACTCTTTTGGGGAAAAGCTCCACATGATCTATGTTCTTGTAAGGGGGGTCAATATATTCCAGCCAGGTATACACTCGCAGTGGGGGGGGGGGGGGGGGGGGGGGTACAAACATGAAGTTAAGATTTGTCTTTACTGCTGCTCCATCTCTCTTTCTCAAGCTGCAATGGCAGCAGACAGAAGTGTAAAATATACTGAATGAGGAAGAGGCAAGTCCTCGAAACGCATCAGCCTATTGGATGTCTACACTCCCTATTGTGGACTGTTACTCAGTGCGGTGCTGACCCAGCTGTTCTTTTACGACGTGCCTTGACTTTATTGTCGTTTGTGAGTACAACACTGACTTTTATTTCTTATTAATCATTTTCATGGTAATGCACTAGGCCTGTGCGCCCTCTGTGTGTTCTTTCCTCATTCAGGATATTCGGATTCCCCCGGTCTATTGAGGGCAGCAAGGTGTGCATGTTCCAGGACATTCTTCTTGTGGTTGTAGCATTGAGTCCATCCCCAGGCGCAGGAGCATTTGTGTTTTCCAGAAGTGTAAATATGCCATGGCTGCGATGTTTTGCATAACGGGACAAATTTCCCTCCCCCCATCATGTTCAGTGGGTGACTCCGAAAACCCCCTTAACTTTATGGAGCCATGCAGGGGCGGACTGACCATTTGGAAACTTGGGCACTGCCCAAGGGCCCGGGGTCAGTAGGGGGCCCCATGAGATGCCCCTGGTACCTTTTTCATAAGCTTTTTTGAGTTTGGGCAAGGACACAGGGGCCCCATGATCCCCTATTGCCCAGGGGCCCCATGAGTTGTCAGTCCGCCCCTGCAGGGGCCCCATGATCCCCTATTGCCCGGGGGCCCCATGAGTTGTCAGTCCGCCCCTGAAGCCATGGCTCTACCACCCCACAAACGCGTGCAGTGTACTGTATGTGGTTGCAGTGGGTGGGATGGGTTTTTAGGTGATAAACCAAGAGTAGAAAAGGTGACCTAACACCTGCTTACCACCTGCTGAACTCCCTCTGAAAAGCAATCCACCACAGATTACAACCTAAATGTCACTTTAGATGGGTGGTACTGCAACTTCAACTGAATGGGGTCCCCTCCGCAACTGCGTGCATGTGAGGTGTCATAGGATTTTTGGGGTTACAACCAGGGGCAGACTGACCATTTGGAAACTCGGGCACTGCCCGAGGGCCCGGGATCAGTAGGGGGCCCCATGAGATGCCCCTGGTACCTTTTTCATAGGCTTTTTTGAGTTTGGGCAAGGACACAGGGGCCCCATGATCCCCTATTTCCCAGGGGCCCCATGAGTTGTCAGTCTGCCCCTGGTTACAACAGAAGGTGAGGGTGACACATAACACCTGCTTACCACCTGCTGAACTCCCTCTGAAAAGCAATCCACCACAGATTACAACCTAAATGTCACTTTCGATGGGTGGTACTGCAACTTCAACTGAATGGGGTCCCCTCCGCAACTGCATGCATGTGGGGTGTCATAGGATTTTTTTGGGTTACAACGGAAGGTGAGGGTGACACATAGCACCTCCTTACCGCCTGTCAAAAGCGATCCACCAACAAACCCTTAAGCTGTGCTACCAGCCCGTTCCAAATGTCCCAACACAGCACCTTAACAGATTTTATTTATTAAAAAAAAAAAAAATCCCTACCCCTGCGCCTGCATGGGTTTTCTCCGGGTACTCCGGTTTCCTCCCACACTCCAAAGACATGCTGGTAGGTGAAATTGGCTCCTGTCTAAATTGTCCCTAGTATGTGTATGTATGAATGTGAGTTAGGGACCTTCAGGGGCGGACTCACCATTTGGAAACTTGGGCACTGCCCGAGGGCCCAGGGTCAGTAGGGGGCCCATGAGATGCCCCTGGTACCTTTTTTCATAGGCTTTTTGAGTTTGGGCAAGGACACAGGGGCCCCATGATCCCCTATTGCCCGGGGGCCACATGAGTTGTCAGTCCGCCCATGGGGACCTTAGATTGTACACTCCTCGGGGGCGGGGACTGATGTGAATGTACAATATATATGTAAAGTGCTGCGTAAATGGATGGCGCTATATAAGTACCTGAAATAAATAATAAATACATGGTTCCCAACAGTCCTACTTCTAGATCAAATTCCTATGTCCTTCTTTCCTCCTCTGTAGTCCCTCTTTTTGATATGATGAATACAGGCTTCTATTACAAAATGTAATCAGAGGTCTCTCTGCAAAGGTCCAACACCTCCCCTACTGAGTTAGGTTTGCTAATACTTCTTGCTAATGGGAGTTTTGACCCTAGCAGGGGGCATGTCAGAACTCTGCAGAGAGACCACTTGCTTCTAAAGAGGGATCAAAGGTCCTTCTCTGCAGCATGCTGGCAGGGGGCAGGCTGTTCTAGACTTTAGGCTGTGGCTGCTTTGTAAAGAAATGGGACTATGGCCATGACAAACACGTCTCGTGAAGACATGGACGTCACTTATTTCAAGTCAAAGTTTTAACTGGATTTAAGGTAAAGGATTCAGAATTGAATATATTGTCTTCGTAGCTTTCTGAGGCTCTGATGTAGAACCAACATACAGATCAGGAAATGGCGATGGCTTGCACACCTGGGAAGGGTCAGAGGCAGAAGGGCGGACTGACCATTCGAGCACTCAGGCACTGCCCGAGGGCCTGGTGTCAGTAGGGGGCCCCCGTGTGAGATGCCCCTGGTACTTTTTTTATAGGCTTTTTTCAGATTGTGGGTATCAAGGACACAGGGGCCCCATGATCCCCTATTGCCCGGGGCCCCATGAGTTGTCAGTCCGCCCCTGGTCAGAGGCTTGAAGTATTGAAGGCCAAAAGGTTCAAACCACAGTTGACAGCTGAGCAACTAGCATTTTTGAAAAGGTGATAAGTATTTTTTCAAAAGGCAATACAATGGCAGCTTATATAGTTTGCTGGATAAAACAAGTTTACTTTAAAAACCTTTTTAAATAAATTTTTTCTCAGCAAAGGGCCCCCTAATGTGCCAGATTGTTTTATCGCTCAGTGACCAGTAGGTGGCACCATAATACCATGTTTTACATGTTCATATCTCCAACTCACAGCCAGATGCAACATACATGATTGGGAATGATTGGGATTGGGAAAGGCCGTGTACAGTACACATGACATGCCTGCCGCATCTTCAATTGTTTTTGAGAGTACAGACTGGAACGGCTGACACACACTAAAAGATTCTTGTAAAACCTTCAACCATGTAGTGCAAGGACCTGCTTGATTGGATATACACTATATTGCCTCCAAATTAGTCAAATTATTTATTTATTTATCAATTTGGGCAATCACTTATCAGTTTACACAGTGCTTTTCATGTGTGTCTATCTATCTATCTACTATTTATCTATCTATCTATAATCTATCTATCTATTATCTATCTATCTATCTATCTATCTATCTATCTATCTATCTATCTAATTATCTAATAATCTATCTAGCTATCTATTATCTATCTATCTATCTATTATATTCTATCTATCTATCTATCTATTATCTATCTATCTATTTATCTATCTATCTATTATCTATCTATCTATCTATCTATCTAGTCTACTATCTATCTATCTATCTATCTATTATCTATCTATCTATCTATCTATCTATCTATCTATTATCTATCTATCTATTATCTATCTACTATCTATGCTATATATCTATCTATTATCTATCTATCTATTTATCTATCTAAATCTATCTATCTATCTATGGTTCTATCTAACATCTATCTATCTAGATCAATTCCTCTATCCTATCTATCTATTATCTATCTATCTATTTCTATCTATCTATACAGGCTTCTATCTACTAATTATCTATCTATCTATCTATCTATCTATCTATCTATCTATCTATTATCTATCTATTATCTATCTATCTATCTATCTATCTATCTATTATCTATCTAGGGGGCATTATCTATCTATCTATCTATCTATCTATCTATCTATCTAGCATCCTATCTATCTATCTATCTATCTAGGGGGCTATCTATCTATCTATCTATCTATTAGCTATCTATCTATTATCTATCTGTTCTACCTCAGGCTAGTGGCTGCTTTGTATCTATCTATCTATGATCATCTATCTATCTATCTATCTAATCTATCTATCTATCTTATTTCTATCATCTATCTATCTATCTATCTATCTATCTAAAGCTATCTATTGAAAATATCTATCTATCTATCTATTATCTATCTATCTATCCAATCATCTATCTATCTAAATCTATCTATCTATCTATCTATCTATCTATCAGGGGCGGGATCTATCTATTCTATCTATCTATCTATCTATTAGCCTATCTATCATTATCTATCTATTATCCCTATCTACTATTATCTATTATCTATCTATCTATCTATCTATCTATCATTATCTATCAGGGGCTATCTATGATCCCCTATATGCTATCTATTACATTCCCATGAGGTCCCTAACCCTGGTCAATGGCTTGTACAATCTAAGGTCCCGAAGGTCTCAAAGTGACAGCTGACAACTAGCATGGGGATAAGTATTTTCAATAAGGCAATCATGGAGCCCCTGTGTATAGTTGCCCAAACTCAAAAAGCCTATGAAAAAGGTACCAGGGTCATCTCATGGGGTCCCCTACTGACCTGGGCCCTCAGGCAGTGCCCAATTGTTTTATTGGTCAGTCCACCCCTGAAGGTCACTATACTCACCATTTTACATGTTCACATACTAGGGACAATTTAGACAGGAGCCAATTCACCTACCATGCATGTCTTTGAGGGTTGGGAGGAAACAACCGGCCGCATCTACCTGGAGTTTTTGAAACTCACACATGCACAGGGAGAACATGCAAACTCCAGGCAGGTGTGCTAAAGTTATTCTTGTAAAACCAATGACCCAGTAGTGCAAGCAGAAGTGCTAACCATTTTAGCTGCTGTACTGTCACATCATGTGATTCAGGTGTTCAATCCCAATCCAAATCATGTGATTCAGGTGTTCCAATCCCCTCCATATCATGTGATTCAGGTGTTCCAATCCCCTCCATGGACACATCTATGTATCAATCATCCCCTAGACATGCTAGACGGCTTTCTACAAACATTGGTGAAAGAATGGGTTGCTCTCAGGAGCTCAGTGACTCCAAGCGTGGTCCCGTGATAGGTGGCCACCTGTGCAATACGTCCATCCGTGACATTTCCTGGCTACTAAATATTCCACGCTCCTGTGTTAGTGGGATTATAACAAAGTGGAAGCAACTGGGAACAACAGCAACTCAGCCACCAAGTGGTAGGCCACGTCACATGACAGGGCGGGGCCCTCAGCGCATGCCCAAGCGCACAGTGCGCAGAAGTCCACCCTGTCTGCAGAGTCCCTAGCTCAAATACCTCCAAACTTGGTGTGGCCTTCAGATGAGCCCAACAACAGTGTGCAGAGAGTATTGCTGGGGGTGGGGGGCAATTTACACTCTCCTGACTCCTACACTGTGCTTACTTATTACTTACCCCTCTGAGACATTTGCTGCAGTTATTGCCAGAACCATTGGGCCAGCCCCCCCAAATCATGTGATTCAGGTGTTAGCAATCCCTTCCATATCATGTGATTCAGGTGTTCCAATCACCTCCATATCATGTGATTCAGGTGTTCCAATCCCCTCCATGGACACAGGCGTATACAATCAAGCCCCTAGGCATGCAGACGGCTTCTACAAACATTGGTGAAAGAATGGGTCGCTCTCAGGAGCTCAGTGACTCCAAGCGTGGTCCCGTGATAGGTGGCACCTGTGCAATAAGTCCATCCGTGACATTTCCTGGCTACTAAATATTCCACGCTCAACTGTTAGTGGGATTATAACAAAGTGGAAGCAACTGGGAACAACAGCAACTCAGCCACCAAGTGGTAGGCCACGTCACATGACAGAGGCGGGGTCAGCGCATGCTGAAGTGCACAGTGCGCAGAAGTCGCCAACTGTCTGCAGAGTCAATAGCTAAAGACCTCCAAACTTGGTGTGGCCTTCAGATGAGCCCAACAACAGTGCGTAGAGAGCTTCATGGAATGGGTTTCCATGGCCGAGCAGCTGCATCTTATTGTACCCAAGACTCTGTCTAAGTGCTTGGAGTTTACTATACCAGGGGCGGACTGACCATTTGGAAACTCGGGCACTGCCCGAGGGCCCAGGGTCAGTAGGGGGCCCCATGAGATGCCCCTGGTACCTTTTTCATAGGCTTTTTTGAGTTTGGGCAAGGACACAGGGGCCCATGATCCCCTTTGCCCGGGGGCTCCATGAGTTGTCAGTCCGCCCTGTACTATACCCATCAACATAGTGGTTGATCGATCGATCGATCAACTTGGGTACAACCAGCCTGTCAGATTTTTTCATGCTCTGGCAATAATCCCATTGTGTGCTGTCAGCTGGGACGGCTGCCTGTGCTGGGAGAACCCAATGGCTCCAAGGGAGGGATTCCCCAATCAACATTATGTTGATGGGAGACTCAAGCAATTTTCTTTTCTATGGTTGAAGGAAAGAAAATGTCATAATGTATGGTCAGATTTATTGTTTTTAAAATGAAGTGTAGGTCTATAGTAAAATCCAGGCACATGGGCAGAGTCTGGATACTGGGGGAACGTTGACGGAGCTGGGTGCCCACCCCCATTGTTCATCAGTTTAGCAAACACAACTCTGATTACATTTCCAACCCCCCCCCCCCCCTCCCATTGGCCTTCCCAACATTTGCTCTGAGTTTGGCAATCCTCTTCTCGGACTCTCTGCCACAATATTTAAGTTGCTGTCAATGATTCACCTCCCCCGGCAGCTGCGGGGGTCTCTTCATGTAACTCCAAACTTTCATTTCAGCAAATGGTGGCAAGGTGCTGAAATCTCCGATTCAAACTTTCCTGAAAATGAGAATTTCTGAGTACGTGGGTCTTCTGGTGCTGTACTTGATATCGGCGTGCGTTTGTGTCGCAGTGCGGAAAATAATTCAAATTATCTGCTCAGGTAGGTCCTTGACCTGCATTATTGTTTCCATTATTATTTATTTATGTATTATAGGTATTTATATACAATGCAGGGGCGGACTGACAACTCATGGGGCCCCCGGGCAATAGGGGATCATGGGGCCCCTCTGTCCTTGCCCAAACTCAAAAAAGCCTATGAAAAAGGTACCAGGGGCATCTCATGGGGCCCCCTCCTGACCCGGGCCCTCGGGCAGTGCCTGAGTTTCCAAATGGTCAGTCCACCCCTGAGTCAGTGCAAGTAATTTGTTCCATGCTCTTTACATAGATACACTATATTGCCAAAAGTATCGGGCCGCCAGCCTTTCCACGCACATGGACTTTAATGGCCCCCCAGTCTTAGTCCGTAGGGTTCAATATTGGGTTGGCCCCGCCCTTTGCAGCTATAACAGCTTCAACTCTTCTGGGAAGGCCGTCCACAAGGTTTAGGAGGGTGTCTATGGGAAGGTTGGACCATTCTTCCAGAAGCACATTTGTCAGGTCAGGCACTGATGTCGGGGGAGGAGGCCTGGCTCGCAGTCTCCGCTCTAATTCATCCCAAAGGTGTTCTATGGGGTTGAGGTCAGGACTCTGTGCAGGACAGTCAAGTTCCCTCCACCCCAAACTGGCTCCTCCATGTCTTTATGGACCTTGCTTTGTGCACTGGTGCACAGTCATGTTGGAACAGGAAGGGGCCATCCCCAAACTCTTCCCACAAGTTGGAAGCATGAAATTGTCCAAAATGTCGCCTTAAGAGTTTCCTTCACTGGAACTAGGGGGCCAAGCCCAACCCCTGAAAAACAACCCCACACCCATAATCCCCCCTCCACCAAACTTTACACTTGGCATAATGCAGTCAGGCAAGTACTATTCTCCTGGCCACTGCCAAACCCAGACACGTCCATCGGATTTCCAGGCAGAGAAGAGTGATTGGTCACTCCAGAGAACACGTCTCCACTGCTCCAGTGGCAGCGTGCTTTACACCAAGGCACCCGATGCTTTGTATTACGCTTGGTGATGTAAGGCTTGGATGCAGCTGCTCGGCCATGGAAACCCATTCCATGAAGCTCTCTACACACTGTCGTTGGGCTCATCTGAAGGCCACACCAAGTTTGGAGGTCTTTAGCTATTGACTCTGCAGACAGTTGGTGACTTCTGCGCACTGTGCGCTTCAGCATGCGCTGACCCCCCCGCCCGCCCTGTCATGTGACGTGGCCTACCACTTGGTGGCTGAGTGGCTGTTGTTCCCAGTTGCTTCCTCATCCAATCTGAATATATGTAAACCACCACTTTAGGCCTGGTTCACACCTATGCATTTTGTATTGCTTTTTGCTTTTCAGAAAACACACTACAGTCTATTTACCATGGTTCCCTATAGGACACGTTCACATCTATGCTTTTTTGAGCCTCTGCATTTTTGGAAAGGGTCAGGGACTTTTTTAAATGCAAAAAGTTGCATTTTTGGTTCAACAGACTTCAATGGAGATGGTACAGAAACGCACTTAGTGATTTGTGACATATTTTTCAAACTTTTTTGATGTATTTTGCATTTTTAATCTGCCCCTTATGTATTATACATGGAGATCATATCCCCCCTTATGTATTTATACATGGAGATCATATCCCCCCTTATGTATTTATACATGGAGATCATATCCTCCCTTATGTATTATACATGATGATCATATCCCCCCCCCCCTTATGTATTTCATACATAGAGATAATTTCCCCCCCTTATGTATTTATACATGGAGATCATATCCCCCCTTATGTATTATACATGGAGAATCATATCCCCCCTTATGTATTATACATGGAGATCATATCCCCCCTTATGTATTATACATGGTGATCATATCCCCCCTTATGTATTATACATGGAGATCATATCCCCCCTTATGTATTATACATGGTGATCATATCCCCCCTTATGTATTATACATGGAGATCATATCCCCCCCTTATGTATTATACATGGAGATCATATCCCCCCTTATGTATTATACATGGAGATCATATCCCCCTTATGTATTATACATGGAGATCATATCCCCCCCCTTATGTATTATACATGGAGATCATATTACCAATTAAGTATTATACATGGAGATCATGTCCCCTCCTTATGTATTATACATGGAGATATCATATCCCCCTTATGTATTATACATGGAGATCATATCCCCCCTTATGTATTATACATGGTGATCATATCCCCCCTTATGTATTATACATGGAGATCATATCCCCCCTTATGTATTATACATGGAGATCATATCCCCCCTTATGTATTATACATGGAGATCATATCCCCCTTATGTATTATACATGGAGATCATATCCCCCCTTATGTATTATACATGGAGATCATATCCCCCCCTTATGTATTATACATGGTGATCATATCCCCCCCTTATGTATTATACATGGTGATCATATCCCCCCCATTATGTATTATACATGGTGATCATATCCCCCCCTTATGTATTATACATGGAGATCATATCCCCCCTTATGTATTATACATGGAGATCATATCCCCCCCCTTATGTATTATACATGGAGATCATATCCCCCCTTATGTATTATACATGGAGATCATATCCCCCCTTATGTATTATACATGGAGATCATATCCCCCTTATGTATTATACATGGAGATCATATCCCCCCTTATGTATTATACATGGAGATCATATCCCCCCTTATGTATTATACATGGAGATCATATCCCCCCTTATGTATTATACATGGAGATCATATCCCCCCCCCACTTATTTATTATACATGGAGATCATATCCCCCTTATGTATTATATATGGTGATCATATCCCCCCTTATGTATTATACATGGAGATCATATCCCCCCTTATTTATTATACATGGAGATCATATCCCCCCTTATGTATTATACATGGTGATCATATCCCCCCTTATGTATTATACATGGAGATCATATCCCCCCCCTTATGTATTATACATGGAGATCATATCCCCCCCCCTTATGTATTATACATGGAGATCATATCCCCCCTTATGTATTATACATGGAGATCATATCCCCCTTAATCTCCTCTTCTCAGTAGAGAATAAATTCTGTTCCTCTAATCTTTCCTCATAGCTGATCTCCTCCATGCCTCGTATCAGTTTGGTCGCCCTTCTCTGTACTTTCTCCCAGTTCCCCAATGTTCTTTTTGTGAATTGGAGCCCCAAACTGAACTGCATATTCCAGATGAGGTATTACTAATGATTTGTACCGGGTGGGGGGCTTTGAGATGACAGAGCTCAGTTATTTAAGGCCCCGTGGGTGTACGCCGCCGGTCCAGGGGCTTCATTCACCTTTATTCCGTCTCCAGTTTTGGTTTCCATTGACATAACTAACGCTGTATGTGGCGGCACTTGGACTCCTCTGGGACGCAATGTATGATAATCATTTGTTGTTCTTAGTCTGTTTACCTTTCAGAACCAATAGTGCATTGCGGAGTTCTCTCAGGAACAGATGTACCGCGCGCTTTATAGGCGCAAACAACAAAAATTGTATAGAAACACTTTAACGGCTGACTCGTTCCATATGTTGGAAGATCATTAGCTTCTGTCGGCTCCTCTTGATGAACGGCACACTGGTTATTGTAAAAGGACTGAAAACAAAAAACATCAGATGAAGTCCCGGAGCCCAACCTGTGGCCCTTATTGTGTGGCCCTCGGACCCCATTAACCAATTGTCAGTGTTTTCTCATCCTAGGTTCTCAGGG